TTTGAAAGCATTTGATTGCTTTGAGTTTGAGTTGAAGGGCTTGGACTTGAGCAAGGCAACGATATATGATGGATGGTTCTTGAGTCGTGGTTGGTGAGTGACCCCAAACTGTTTTCAAAACTACTTATGAACTGTTTCTTGCATTATTTACTCGATTGCATATCATGTGTGTTTGCATGTGAGTTCATGATATGATTTGGCTTAAATGAGTTCTTGGGAAATCTTGGGCTTAGAACCAACGTCTCCACTACTGTTTACTGTTCATCTGGAGCACCAAAGGGCTCCCTATTACTGTTTCACTGTTACTGGATCTATTTGAGCGTTGGACGTCTGAGTACCATGATCTCCCTGGCTCACAAGAGCAATAAAAGTACATTTGATTACTGAATCATGACATCATTGAAATGAACTATTGAGAAACTGATTTGATTACTGATTTTACTGGTTACTCGCTGAGCTTCTAGCTCACCCCAAAAATATTTTATTCCCCTCCACAAGGCTCGAGGTGAAGGAAGCATTTGTATTAAAGTTCTCCGTGTGAATGGTTGGAGGATCTACTGTACCGTTGGAGCTCTAGTTTTAATTTGCGTAATATTTGAGATTGTACTTGTACTTGTACTTATGTGAGAACTGAGGACCTTTGTCTTATGCTGGAAATTAGTATTGCTTGTATCTCTTGAGGTTTTAGTTGTAGTAGATGTAATTGTGGAACATTTGATGTATATTTGAGATTTATATTGTAATTGAATTGAGGATTGAAGTGAACGACTGAGTCCCGGCGAGAGTTGGGCAGGCGGTCCGCTGACCCCTTTGGTTCGCCTTAGGGGGAGGTGGGGCCGTCACAGTTTTGAAATCACACGCAAGAATTCTAGAAAAGCAATTCTATGATCATTTCAAGAAGTTTATGATATCTCAGAAGATAATATTGGAATAATGGGGGAGGTTTCTCCTTTCACTTATAATAGATCGTTAGGAAAGAATTCCAATGATATCCGGTAGTAAATTATAGCAGCTCTCATTTCAGTTTTTCTCACACCAAAAACAAGTTCATTGCAGTAGGTTGTGATATGTATGCATACTTGACTAATGCAGACAATGATGAATTTGTTACGGGTTGCGCAACCCCCTGCAACAGCTCACTAATTAGTCCCTTAGCATCAATGAAAGTAGTATTTTAAAGATTGTAAACAATCTAAACTATTGGCTTAATCATTCTTTATAAATCAAATAGAAATTGCCTCTCAGACAATTCATCTAACAAGTAGTAAACAATAAGAAGAGTAGTTCAAGTCAAACCTGCAAACCAAGACCTTTGTGAATATGCTATTATTTGTTGATCTTCAAACTCTGTGGCAAGAGATAAATTATCTAATGAAGACAAATTTATGAAAACAATGATATAGCAAATAATTTTTTCCAGATTATTGTACCTTTCTATCCAAAGGCAATTTAAAAAGGGAAAAATTAATCAAAGTACTGGTGATTCACTATCCATGAAATATTTATTTTATGTTTTGGATGCAAATAAAACAACTAAAACAAATAGAAATTTCCCTTATCAAAGATCACTGTGAGCACTAGTTGATTAATACTATTTTTGAGCACTTTTTCTCCAAGAAAGAAACTTGTGTCTGAAAGCTTCGGAAACCTTATGGAGGTTATGCTCTTCATCTGAAACCAAAAACTATGGAACACCAAAAGACTCTGACAACCGTAGGAATCAAAAAGGCCCAAACGGAAGAATGCAGAAATTAAAAGGTTCAATTCATATTGTAAGAGTGAGATAGCCGTTATGAGTGCATAATTCAATCTTCATTTCAATACCCACAAGCTCAACTCATTTAATTGAGTGGTAAATTAAATGAGTTAAACATATACAAAAGACACATGTCAAGTGGTCAATTACAGATGACAATTGTTGGTGAAAATAGTTTTAAAACAATAAACCAATCGAAGAATGCCAGATTAGTTTAAGTTGTCCATATGGCACTTCTTGGTAAAGGTACTCTTAGATTTTTATATAATAGTTAGATATGCCGAAACTCACACGAATCATCCATTGTGATGGATCTACATTCGTCCTTCAGCCTTATAGTCCTTTTTTTCTACTCTTGTCACTGTTTGTTTCCTCACTTCTCCAATGTTTTTTGTCGAATAAAAAGCTAGAATTGTAGTTCTCAAGGAAAATTAAGCTTTTTGGTGTAAAATTTGTGAAATTCTACCATTTTTGGTCTTTATCACAAATGTCCATCAAGGGATAGTTTTTTAATCGAATATTTGGTCTAAAATTTTTTCTAAAACAATCCCAAAGGCAACCATCTAAATACACCTTTATTGATTTAAATTCATATATTAATTTTCTTTTAAATGCACTTATTGATATATATATGTGTGTGTGTGTGTGTGTGTGTGTTGTAAGAAAAATTATCTAGATGCTTGCACAATATCAATATAGAATTTATTCTAAGTACAAATGAAATGTCAAAACTATAATTTATATACTCCAAATTTAGTGTCAAAGTATAAAGTCCAACCTTAAACAATATAAACCATTTGAAAAGAAACCTATTGAATAAAGTCCAATGTTAAAAATATAAACTTTAGAAAAACAAATCTACTAAATGCCCTAAGCTCACTAAATACCAAAAAAAAGGTAAATAGTTTCTTTAATTAGCTTATAATAGTGTTAGCGATTGCCATTATTCACCATTAAAGTGTATGTATGAAATTTCAGATTCTATTGAAATTTGAATTATAATATGAAGACATTCAATGTGTAAAGAAGTTTGTCTAAGGAGGAAAATCATATTTACATACTTAAGTCAAAATTACTGGAAAGAAGGTTTGGAATATTATTGTTTTCATATGATTTGGATGTTTGTTTTAACTTTCTCATCTATAATGTTGTCTTTAATTTTAGTGTTGCCAAAATAAATGGTTAGGAATATTGTTATTTGCTGTTTAGTTATGTTCATTTATATCTTTTTTGAATTACAATGATTTATAAGTTTGGTAAGTTTTCTATTAAGGTGGTATGTTAGGTTTTATTTTTTTAATTAGTCAACTTTAGAAATGCTGCCAATTGATTGTTTCACTATGGTAAGTAGATAATCAAATATTAAATGTGGTTATATCTAATTAAAATAAATCAAAATTCTAAGACAACAAGATGGGAGGTTGGGAAATTCATAAGAAGTAGAATATGAAATGTGTGTGTGTGTGTGTGTGTTTGTGTATTATCGACAAGCATTGAACAAGGTGGAGTTGATATCATTAAAAGAACTAAAACATAATCTTATTCAAGTACTCCTTAAAATATGTAGAGCTAGCGCATATTACACCAAAAAGGGGCCCTCAAATGGATAGTAGCATTATTATTCCTAGGGATGGCAGCGAGCAGGTTGCAAAATACATCCCCCCCCTGGCCGCGGCCAGGAGGGCCAAAAAACAAACAACAACAACAACAACAACAACGTGAAGACTCGTGGCCATGATCATATGATCCTAGTATATAAAATCATAAAAACTTCATTTTTCGAAATAGCAAACCCAATTTGTTTTAGCAAAACTTCCATGGATTGTAAAGTACTAGAATTTGTTTTTATTTGTATAACTACCACATGCAAAGAACCTATGATGAGCTTTTATCTTGAACTTCTAGTATGCTTATGGGTCTCTTTCATGCATGACATCCCCTTTCTGTTACTAAACTAGTAATGGTGATTGGAGTACAATGCGAGAGAAAATTTAGATGACACACACATTTATTTATTTATTTTTATTGATGTGGGGGATAGGGGCTGGGGTATGCTTCCCTGCCTCCCTCCCCATTTAACAAAGGGGAGAAAAATCCCCTTACCTCCATCTCACCGCATCTCATCTCCGGTCTCATTCCTCCCCTGCAGGGCAGACGCCCCTAGTTATTCCTCATCCCAACTTGGAAGTCTGAGGGAAGAGAGGAAAAATGACAAAAATTTTTAAAACTAAGAAAAGTAAACCTTAGTTACTTTTAAAAAATCTTTGTTTTTTCTCAGTTTACTTTTGATATATTCTTTTTTTTTTAAAAAAAACTAAGAATAATGTGCCATTTGACATCGATTATGTTTGAAGAGTAAATAAAAACTAGAATTATTTATTACTCTGATGAAATAAAGAAGCTAGAAACCAAAAAGCAAACATCCTGAAAACCCAACAATAGGGACGTTGCATAACTATTTTCAACATATATAGAATAAGAGCCGAAGGCCTCTTGTGACTTGGAATGGTTTTCGTCGTCCTCTCACGTGCCGCACATGTGAGTCACCAGCCTTTTTTTTCCGCGCGATGCGCCAGACATCTGCATATACTTCCTCTCTAGGGTTTCCTTAAATTTCCTCCGCTGCCGCCGCTTTCTCTTCTCCCATTCTCTCTTCGCCTCACCTTATTCTCAGAAGCTCCGTCTTCTCTACTTTGTTTTCTCTTCTCCTTTCTCCTGCATTTGTATTTTCTTCTTTTCTATCTCGTCTTCCTCTTTTCTTTCTTTTCTCCTATTGTAGATGGATTTAAGCTGTTTTCTCCTCCATTCTCCTCTTTCTTCTCTCCGCCGCTCCTTGGTCAGATCTTTCCCTCTGCCTCTTGCTCTCAAAATCTTTATTATCTCTCCTCCTTCTTTCCTTCTCATTCTTTGATTTCATTTTAAATATTACTTTCACCTTTTTATTGTTTTTTTTTCTTTAATTTTTTTGCCCGATTAATCGGCTGATACCATGAGAGCTGCATATTTCTTTTCAAAAATTATTTGTAGCTTCAAACCTGGTAAACAAAATCGCGGCTACCATAGTCGGCCATACACAAAGTATGTAACTCCACGGTGGTCTTTTCCACTGATATTTTTTTTTCCCGTTCCTTAGCTCCTTGGTTGGGAGACTGCTATTTTTTGTCTTGCTTTTCTGGTTGCAACTGGAGAACTAATGTGGATTACTTTTGATTTCTTGACTTTTATTTTTCAGTCTCAGATAGAACTAGAAGTGAAGCGTCAACCGCCGCTTCCTCTCTATTGTTTCAGGTACTACCTTGGTTTTTTCGCTACTTTCCCTTCATTGGTGATTTTTTCTCTCTCTTTTCTATTAAAACTTTGGTTACATTAATGTTTTGTCTTGTTTTATCTAGAATGCAACTAGAGTGTAGATCTGTGGAGCTTTCAATTTATGCACTCTTATTTTTCGTCTGAGAAAGAGCTACAAGCACTTAAGCATCTTCTATCCATTAAGGTACTACCTTCATTATTTTGTTATTTTCTCTCTATTTTTGTTTATTTTCCTTCCATGTTTGAGCTATTGTGGTGTTGTTGTTTTTTGCACTTCTCAGCTATTCTTTGTACTTATTTCATGGCTGTTTGTATTGATTTTTACCCCTTGGAATTTTTTTTTGGATTTTTACCCAGTAAAATCCTTTCTGTTATGGCATTTTTTCCCTCCTAGAATTTTTTTTGTTTTCCTTTCTTTTAAGCTTTTTTTGCTTGTTTCATGTGCTATTTGGGTTATTTTTTAGTTCTAGGATTCCACCCTAAAAAAGGCAAAAAAAATAAAGAAATACCTGTGACTTGGATTTCTTGCTGGAATACATATTTTGTCTTCCTACCTTAGATTTGCTCTGTATTCATGTTTTCTCCTCCTCTGTAAAAACTTGTTTGATGCTAATGGTTATCGTATTTTGTTGTGCAAGCATTTTTTCATTGCTTTTAGGAAACTGGTTTGTGATTTCTTGGGTGGTTGTTTTCTATTAACAGTTTTTTTTGTGTTGCAGCTATTGCACATTTTTCTTGTGTCATGTTTGATCATTTTTTTTTGAGTTGTTATCAGGCTTGTGATGCTTTTTCGTCAGTGCTGTTGGAAATTTTTTTCCCTTCTGTTATGCCTTTTACTAATCAGTTTGTGGTTGCATTACTAATGCCGTTGTACTGTACAATTTGTAAGTTTTGCATTCTGATCATATTTAGAGTAATAAGTTTTGCATTCAGATCATAAGTCAATTTTGGAAAGAATAAGTTTTGCATCAGATCATATGTGAGGTTACAATTTGTAAAGATTAGAATAATAATTTTTCATACCAAGTGCAAATGATGCTTTGTGAGACCCCGAAATTTTACTTTTCTTTATAACCTTTATGTGAACTCACTTTCGTTTGATTCTTGGTTGCTTTAATGGTTGAATTTGAGTCAAGGGAGTGAATTTTGTTAAGAAAAGTTTCATAATCTCAAGTTGTTAGAAAATCTAGAATTTTCACAGGAGGCTCTGCGCAGTTTTGGAAAATTGACTATAACTTCGTATAGGAAAGTCGGAATTGAGTTCTGTTTATTACGTTTGAAACTAGACTCAGAGGGCATTCTACGGTGTAAAATTTAGAGTTTGATTCAATGTTTATAAATTCTAGGAAATTAGCAAAGTTGACTGAAAATTCTGCCCTGCACAAGTAAACATAGGACTGTTGAAGTAGCTTATGGCTCAATTTGGACCAACTTATGAACTAAATCTCTTTGAGGTGTCTTCTAAAGATTTTTAGTATTTGAAGTTTCGTTTTAACAAGCCGAGTTATATAAATTTTTGATATTTATAACTCAAGTTATAATTTTTCTAAAGAAAGGGCATCAGTTATGGTTTTGTGCATACTACGGTTTTGTTGTATGTTTTTGTGTGCATTTTGGTAGTGTGATTGTGAGGACCCGTAAAATTCCCTTAGTTTATATTATTTTCTTTTCTTTTATTTCACAATCATTTTCTTCACTTTACTTTACTATATTAATTTTTTCAAAGATTTTATAAGTGAGTATAGTTTTTAAATCATTTTCCTAGTATAAGATAGTTTATGTTAAATTTGAAGTGTATTATGGGCGTGGGACCCGCTAATGCACTAAGTGTGATAAAATTTTGACGATTAATTGATGATTTGTATAAAGAGATATTATTTTACAAGGTGATAGGTGACAATTAGAGGTTAGCTAGATAAATAACCATTGGAAGACAAAAAGATGAGGATTAACCCTTGGATGCCATTTGTCCTTGAAACATTGGACCTTGACTTTGACTTGGACTTGTTTTAACCTTTACTAAACTAAATTTTGACCCAATTTCTTTCCATTTTCATTGTCTTGGCCGAAATTTATGGAGAGGAAAGAACAAGAGAGCAAAGCTTCAACTTCATCCTCCATTCTTGGCTTAAATCTTGAGTTTTAACCGTTAGTTTTGGAAACTACACCATACAAGTGCTTATTAAGGAGGAACAAAGGTCTTGGTAGAGTGATTTTTGTAGAAGAAACCCTAAGCTATCATCTTTCCTCTAGTTTCAAGGTAAATTCCCTAGAAATTTCCTTTTACTCTTGATAATTGTCAATTAGTGGATTGGAGAAGTTAAATATCTAGCTTTGTGGACAAATTTATGGTTTGAAATAGGGGCATGGTGAATTTCAGTTTTTATAGTAAATTTTCTAATTGATGTCTAGCCATGATTTGGTAGTTGTCATGAGTAATTTTGAGCTTGAAAATGCTAGTTTTGCTCGCCTTCAAAGAATTTTAGATAGAGTGCATAAATTTCAGTTTTAAGGTTTCCAATTTGCCCTGTTCTGCCCGGTTCTGTTTGACCATGTTAGAGGCCGAATTAGGTTTAGCACAAAACATGAAAGTTGTAGAAAATGATGTTTTATAGCTTTCTGTAAAATTTCAACTCGATCGAAGCAGTGTAACATGTGAAATGACCGAAATACCCTTGACTACCCATAAGCCCTGTTTCGCGGACAGTTTTCTATCTTCGTGGAGATTTCAATTTTTGACTCTGAAAATGTATGATTTAGCTTTCGAGGCCTTCATAAGAAATGTAGGTATATGTCTTGGCTTCGAAACGCCATAAGATACACCTCAATCGGATTTCGGTAGCCTGAGTTATTGTCGTTTAATCATAGTGCGGTTAACTAGTCTGATTGTGAGATGCTGGTTCTGTAATTTGAAATTTTGACATGGATACACTGTGAACTGGACTGACTGGTCTTCATCAAAGTTGTAGAACTTTATCTTAGCTACGAAATGGTATAAATTTTACCCCAATCTGATAAGCGTAGCTTTGGTTGTGTCTGTTCCGCTAAGCGACGTCAAATCTGTCTTTTATTTTCTGACTTAAACTTCATTTCTGTACATTTTCCTAGCTTGAATTTGTACTTGTACGACTTTGAGCCTATTAAATGGCTATTGAAATGAGATTATTTTGTGTGTAACTTTGGGATTGATTGAGGAAAACAATGAAGCCATAAATGGCTGGAAAATAGGTAAATATAGAGGGCATGCTGCCCAAAATTTTAGAGCTACACGATTCCTTCAAGTTGAATTGATCTTGGTAAAAATGAAGGGTTTTGGGACTTGTTTGTAACCCTAGGACCAACTGTTATCTTTTTACTCAAAAGTCATATTTTATTCTTTTGTACTAGTATTTAACCTGGGAAGGCATACGACTTGTAGTTGAGCCTCATTGATGTATTCCATTTACTGGGTTTGTGGATGTGCGAACTATAATTGTTTTATCTTGGTTATTTTAGGGTTTCTTGGTGATTAAAGCCACTTTGGGTAAAAACTTTCGAAATATCTGTACTGGAACCGGTGAGTGTACCACTCCCCTCATTTGTTACTTAACTAGGTTTCTGTACCTGCAATCTGTGATTTGAATTACTATACTATTTGTTTATTCTGTTTGAGACGAGGGTGTACTTTATCACACTCGTTCTCTTGTTTGTCTGTATGCCTATTTACTATGTGTAAACTGTTATCTGTATCTGAGTCTGTTCGGACGTCATTTGGAGGCTGGTATCCAACGACCTTTCTGTGACCTCTAAACTCAACACCTGTGGCTAGTTACTCGAGTCGGGCCGGCAAGGGCCTGGTCGATTAGATAACGAATCACGGTAGTCTGTTTCTGGTAATTTTTGGATATTGAGACTCTTGATTTCTGTATACTCGAGTATTACCACTTCTGTTTCTATTGAGGTGTTCGGGCCCGGTAAGGGGTATGTTTGGTGGACGAAATTTGGTGCAAAATGGGGTCTACGGACATGTTGGTTCTATATACGTTGACGGAGAGTCAACGGGTTTGGATCAAGTTCTACCATGAAAATCTGGCTCCTGAGAGCCACCTGTATCCTTCCTATTTGAATCATTGTGTCTAACTGCTTTACTTTATATCTGGCACGTATACCTGATTGGTTAAACATGAAATGCCAAGATTTGACTGCTATTATTTTGGTACCTCATTGAGTGTAAACTCACCCCTTTCCCGTTATCTTTGTTTTCCTTTCAGGGGCAAACTTTGAATCCATAATCTTGGAAGAAAGGGTCGAGCTAGTGTAATTAATATTTTGTTAAGCTCTTTTGCAACCGAAACCCGAATCGTATTTTAAGTGTATGAATACTTTGGCTTGTATTTTAGTTTAGTTAATTTGTCAAAGACTCCGATGTAAATATATGTATAAGTGTTTAACATTGTCTATTAAGTGTATTCAATTGAGATTATGAGTTTTATGGTTTGGTAAGTATGTTCTCACTTTAGTAGTTTCCGATTGTTCGTTTTCTTTGGGTCCTATCGCGCGTGCTATATTGGGTTTGTGTGATTTGACTCCGTAGTCCTGGCGAGAGTTGGGCAGGCGGTCCGCCGAACCCTTCGGTTCGCCTTAGGGTGAAGTGGGGCTGTCACATGCTTGAAGTTTCATTCCTTGGAGCAAGCATCTTTTATGTTCTGTTTTTTGTATTTTTGTGGGTTTTGCTTTTCTTTATTTAACTTTGAAGCTTTTTGTTCTGTAAGTATCTTTGTGATTTAGTTACAAGAAGAAAGAAGTTTTGTCCCTCTACAATTTTCCTTAAAAATTGGAAACTTATGTAGGCCATTAATCTTATTTATCTAATTCTGCTTCTATCTTTCTATCAACATAGAGAACATCAGGTCTTATGAGACAAATTATGACTTTTTATTTTCATTCACTTGGTGGTGGTGGATTTTTTTTTTGGGTTAGATCTGTTTTTTCCCTCTTGATCTGTAAAGAAGTTTTTTTTTTGGTCTGTGTCTCTTGCAATTCCTGTATGCTTTTGATTTTTTGATTTGCAAAGTTGTTGAATGCTCATGCTTGTGGTCGCTGGTTTATTTTTCTGCTTTTGCTTTTTGTGTGCATTTCTTTTTGCCATTGTTTTCCTGATTTGGTTATTTTTCTTTGTTAGCCATGTTGATAGCATTGTACTTTTTTTTGTTATTTTTGGTGTGTTTCTTTTTCGTTAGCCATGTATCTACCTGCATTTGTAAAGCAGACCCTTCAAAATTTTTCGGTGATTATAGAATGCAGTAAGGGTATCTCTACATCAGTGATTAATATGCTTCTTCATTTTGTAATTGGCGACTTGGCATTATTGCTTGTTCTTTTTTAATTAACCAGATACTCATGAAACTCTCGCTTGCACTGCCTTGAGTTCATACAATTGTATTTCTCATTAATTTATTTTTATTCTCAGGTATGAAGGTGCACAATCTGCAGAAGCCTTGCTAAGTTTGTGAACAGTGAAGAAGGTAATGTTATTGGTTAGCTGGCTTGTATTTTGTGGTCCATAAGTGTAATCCATGTTAACAAGTTTGATAGATTTACGTTAAACTATATTTTGGTAAAAGTGTTGAATAATCCATGAGGTTGTTAAAATCCAATCCATATTACTTATGAAGATTAGAAATTTACTTCACCTTAAGATATCACGACGAAGAATTGTGCTGTGATATCTTAAGGGGCAAAAGATCAATCTTTTTTTTTTTTAATGTTTTCTATAGTGGTTAAAATCTACAATGGATTATTTAAAGTGGTGATAGCACTGGAGGCTACAATTAAGAAACTGGTTAGTTATTAATTTGCTTCTTGTGTGATTTTTTTTTTGCCTCAGTAGTCTATAAGTAACTCTTACTATTTCTTTAATTCTTTCTTCTATTTCCCTTATCGAAAGGTCTATCTACAATGGATTATTTCAGGTTATGATAGCACTGAAGGCTACAATTAAGAGAAAGATTAGTTTTTAATTTGCTTCTCATGTGGTTTTAATTCTTTTTTTGGGCTCTGTGGTCTATTACTAACCTAGAATTGCTACCAGTGATGACAAAAAAACTATTCAGCATAATTTTAAGGATGGCCAAAGTAGCCAAATTAAAAAGTTGTATGAATTTGGCCTTATTCTTGTAACTGCGATTAAATATTAGCACCTTGGCCATGTGGTTTTCTTGTTTGATTCTTTATTGTTTGTTTCACGTGACAGGTACATCTTGATTACCATGAAGTTGGTGCTAATATCATAATGTCTGCATCATATCAGGTTATATGGCTGTCTTTTTTAATTTTTCCAAGCCTTCCTAAGGATCTCATTTAATTATTATTGAAAGAATTTATCATGAAGTTGAGGACTCTTGATTTTTCTTGTTTGGAAGACAGGCCACTCTTTAAGGATTTGTAGCTAAAGGGATATCAAGAGAAGAAGGTGAAGCTTTACTCAGGAAAATTGTTGAAATAGCATGCGAGGTACGGGATATATATTATGATAAAGCCAGTAAAGGTTCTTGGGATGTTATTGGAGGATCCAAAAGCTTTAAACGTCCATTCCTTGTTGTTGCTTCTGTTGGAAGCTATGGAGCTTATCTTGCTGATGGTTCTGAATATAGGTGAATCTTTTAATTCTTTTCTTACATTGGAAGCAGAGTAGTATTTTAGTGCCCAAATACTGACTTTAAATATTTGAACTTGTGCTAGAAACTTTTCCTCTCGAGCACTTGTGATCTTCTCATGCATTGTAGTGGCATATATGGGGATGTAGTGACTCTGGAGACTTTGAAAGATTTCCATAGAAGAAGAGTTCAAGTTCTTGCCGACTCTGGTGCTGACCTGATTGCATTTGAGATAATTCCAAACAAATTGGATGCTATGGTATTGTTTTTGAGTCGTGACTATCTCAATGTACCTCAAACATTTCTTTTGCTAGAGCAATTTAGATGTTTTGCTGTCTATTTTGCCTGATTGCTTCTTGATATAGGAATACACTGAGATTCTTGAGGAAGAAAACATAAAAGTTCCGACCTGGTTTTCTTTCAATTCTAAGGATGGGATCAATGTAGTTAGTGGGGATCCTATATCAAATTGTACTGCAATTGCTGATTTATGTGATCGAGTTGTTGCTGTTGGAATCAACTGTATTGCTCCTAGATATATTGATGGACTTGTCCAATCAATCAAGATGGTATAACCAATTCTAGGATGCATTTGAAATGAATGAAATTGAAAACAATAATCAAATTTAATTAGGAACATTGGTTTTAATTCTCTCGAGAAATCTAGGTAAGTTATTGTCATGTCTTAGTTCTAATTGCAGTCTTTTAATCACAAGATCCCTTTTTTTTGTTTCTAAGAATTCTCATTAGAGAAACCAATTCTGGGTCATGATTATTAGATATATCTCCATTGCATCAATAAATTAGAAATCAGAAAATCTTGGATGTCCATTTATGTACATGGAACTTATTGCTTTACTTGCTAATATTTCTGTAAGTCACTACTAAACCGATCCTGATATATTAGCGTTTCCCTTTTTCTCTTTCCACAGTCTTCCCAAGTTAGGAGCTCAATTGCAAAAAAGAAAAGAAAAAACCAGAAACCATCCATGTATATATATATATAAATTCTAAGTATAAAACTATGAAGTGAAGTACATCTTTAAACAGATGTACCAACGTTTCAGCCGGGTGTGAAGTGAAGATCATCCTAACAACTTTAGTTATTCTAAGCATAAATAAAACTATGAGTATGTTTGTTGATACTTTTTGTTGGCTGATTTCAACCACCGAAGAAAGGAAAATGCTGTCTTATTAGGATTTCATGGTTCTTAAGGTATTTACACTTGCTAAATTCCTACTGGGCAGTTTTCTTGGATTTCTTGTTGGATTGTGGATCTATTTGCATGGATGTTTTCAAGTCACTTATTTTTAGGGTGAGGATTACTGATCGAACTTTTGTTTGCTTGTACTTGTCAAATTAGATAATGGGGAAAGTGAATAAAGAGAGGCTGGGAGAATTCCTTGGGGAGTTGCAGAGGAAAGAGGATACAAATGACAGGTATGTTGCTGCTCTGAGAGGGGAAATCGCTGATTAGAAACCCATTTGTGAGAATGCAACCTTTCCCAGAGCAAAGCACAGCCGAAGTTAGCAAGGCATAGGAGTAGAGAATGAGACTGCTGTTGGCAGACTTTTGTACCCAGACCTTTTTTCTATTTTTTTCTCTCTTTTCACTACCATTGTAGAGCACACTATTATGTATGTCTAATGGTAACTTCTGATTTACTGGTTCTTTATCATAATGGGATCACCAAAACTGAAGCGTAGCTTGTATATATTTGTATTTTATAAAAAGGACAAATGTTAGACGGTATAAGGACAGATATTATAAAAAGGACAAATATTAGCTTGCATACATTTGCACTATTATGAAAAGGTCGAGCTCGTCTTCTGTACCGGTAGCCGCTCTGAGGAAATCACCGAGAAAACTAATGGTCATACAAATTTTCAAGAGAAAAGGCATAGAAAATTTTACTCCTGGTGTTTTAGTTTCAGAATTTATCTTTAGTCAGTTTATGTAAACTAGGAAAGTGTACCACCGCATGGTGATTGTTGATTTTTATATTGTTAGCTGAAATTTGTATCCATCTCTTCGTGACTTTCCTATTTTTGGTATATTTGAGTTCTCATACGAATTAGGAAGATTTGAGATATGATCTACTTTCTGTATTAAAAGTCCAAAAATTATATTAATATAAATGTTTTCACTATTTTGAGAGCATATCCATTTTGGATTAAGTACAAATCATTTTACTAAACTGGGCATGTTCATCATTTGTTTCTTTCTATCAGTTTTATACAAGTCGCTCACAACACAGCCTGGTAGGTGCTTTCCTTTATACAATTTTGTTCACAAATGTATTGTTTAGTTGTCTAACAAACAATTTTTTTTTTAAGTAGACCCTTCCACAATACGCCAACCTTCGACTACATGAAGGCACAACACCAACAGTAATTCTTACAAGCGGCTATAAAGCATATTGCATTGGCCATGAAGGCACAACACCAACAGTAATTCTTACAAGTGGCTATAAAGCATATTGCATTGGCATGAAACAGAGATCCTTCAACAAGAATTGGGCTACTTTTGCAGTCGAACATGCTCTTTGCCCTGGAGACATATTATTTTTTATTCCACAATCAGCCACCTCTTTTGGTGTTATCGTTTTCAACGAAACTGGCATTCAAAAACAATATCCATGGCATTTTAATTTCACTATTCCTCTAATTTAGCCTGTATTAAGTTGATGAATATTACACTAATCTTTGAGAACGATTTGTAGTTGATGAGTACTAGAACTAAGCTCTATTCCACTTCCCATTATGTATCTTGCTCTATTCTTAAGAGCTTTCTTTATATGAAAAGTATTTCAATTGCATATCGTATTCTGTTTGGTTCCTATTTTTCCTATATCTTATTCTTAAGCTCTATGCCACTTTGTGCTTATACTGTGTTTGTAACCCATATAACAAAAAAAAAAAAATTAACCATTGGTCTAACCAACCATATCCTTCTCCGGTATTTAATTTCATGTCATATGCTCGTCTGGGCATCTTCTTTTTCTATACCAATGCACACCGCGCAGTTTATACCTCCTAGTGTTGGTTACAAGTGTTGTCACTCATTAACACACCTTCCAAATCCTACATAACCTACCACGTATAGTATGTCCTAAGGAATGCCTATTGGTACCCAATAGATCCAAAAAAAAAAAAAGGATTGCACCAAATTAGGCTTTGGTGGATCTTGGCATCCCTTCAAGTACTGCCACGTGGCAGTCTCCATAAAAGCTTCCCACTTTTTTTGCTCTTGTGCTGGCAAGTGGGCCTGGTTTTAAATATAGTCTATGAGATTTTGCTTAGGCCCGCAGAATAAGATTAAAATGCATCACGGGGTGGGCTACAAATATTTAGTAGCGAAGCCCAACTGGTTTTAATCAAAGAAAATGAAAATGAATCGCAATTAATTTATCATTGCTTTTGCATTCACATGCATTTGTAAATGCAGACCATAAAAAACTCAAAAATATTTATATTTATACTCTGGTTTCAAATAATTAACATCATGTCTAGAGTAGTGAGCTAGAAAAGCCATGAAGATGGGGTAAAAGGCAAGATCGATTACACGTACAATTGTTCTTGGGCAGTGTAATATCTTATCAATAGATTGTTAGACATGATTATTTGCAAAATTTTATAACAGAGACACAATTATTATATATAGGTTCTATATGAACAGTAATAGATTATGACACAATTAGTTGTACAAATAGTTAATCATGCTCACAACTTGCTCAAATAACATTGCATTGTCCAAAAATGGTTGTACTGACATCGGTCTTGCCCTTACCCTCGGAGAAGCTCCTTTGTCACATGAAGCTTATTCGCTAATAGTAAATTTTAAAAGAAAGACTCCCCAACTTGCCCAATGAGTTCTGCATTGTAAAATCCATAGCCCAGACCATCCTTAATCTTGTGAATCCACAACTTGCTCCATTTATGCAAAAAATGAAAGCACAAAAAGATTTTAGATTAAAATCTCTTCTTGTAGCTATTTTATTCTGGCATCCTTCTTCCAATATATTTCTTCTTGCTTGAGATGAGAAAGAAGCTGGGCCTACTCTTGGAAGATTTTAACCTAATATGAATAAATTATAAGTCCTATTTTACCCCCAAAAGTGTAACAACCCATATTATACACTTTAATATGCTAAAACTTGTTCTTTCCAAACTATCACAATAACATCCTATTTAAGTTTGACGTTCTCAACTAAACAATCATTTGTGCTAGTTACCATCATTACTATTGCCTTTTTTCTTTCCACCACTCGTACACTTCTCCCCCCTCTACTAAATTACAATACTTTTTCATCAAAAATTCCTTCTTCAGCCAACTTATTGAAGATTAC